CAAAGGACTGCACCCTTCCTTCGTTTTTGCTACACTGCTTAGCTAGGTAGGCAGCTTTCCCAGCAAAATACACAGATGCTGGCTGGAGTCACCCTAAGTGGTTAAAATGTGCTTGTTTGTTGCCATGCAACTGTTTGGAGGCAATTTATAAAGAGATACCGGCCACCAGAAGGGCGGCTGATATCATTCTTTAATATCACGATACTCTGAACGCTCAGTGTTCTCCATGCACAGGTACTCGCATCACACAGAAGCACAAGTTTGCACAAAGATGTATGGGGATGTTTTAATACTGGACAACGTGCACTTGAAATGAGTAGCACAGACTTGCAATCAATGACTCACTTCTACGGCCGTGTATGCACATTTAGACATAAAATCTCAACCTTCAGTTTGGGACTGCTAGATGGTGTTAACCTGACGGTGTCAACGGTTCAGCTAGAGATGGAGAAGTTGTACCTAATAAAATCCTCAATTCCACACAACTATAAGAAGCACAAGAGGCCTTTCATGGGTTGAATCTGGGACCACCCATATACTCTTAAATGGTATTTCCTTGCGTTATTTAAGCGATCTTTACTTGCATTAGATAACCACAATATTCACAGGCAGGCATTTGTGCTTTTATGTTGTGTCCTGAATTATGCAAAGAAGCACATTCACCACACACTTGCTTGCATGTGATTCATATTCTGTTTTCTCATCAGCATTTTAAATATGGGCAATATATAATAAATCCACAAAATCCATACTCAGAGCCTTTCCAGATGACAGGGGAATGTGTGTCTGTTACAAGAGAGCAACAGAAGCAAGTCATAATTTAAGTATTTAAATGCTATTATGTCATTATAGCTATGTCTCTGTTCACCTCACCATCCTCTTGTGAGTTTTCTTGATGGCTGACTCAGTGGTAGCTTCCTGTGCCTACCGTTGATCGCTGGAGTGCTACGCCAGATGTGTCTAGGACAGCCTTCCCCAACTGGGTACCTAGTAGATGTCGTGGACTACAACTGCCATAAGCCCCAGTCAAGAATGCCAGGAAAATGTGTAGCCCAGGCCATCTAGAGGATACCAGGTTGAGGAAGTGTGGTCTAGAGACACATGCCTTGCTCAGGTATACCTATAAAAATTATAGCTACCTATAAAAACTGAGCATGCAGTTCATGTAACTTCATGATTCTGCAAGGAGACCTGTAGGGATCAGCAGTCTTTGAATGATCTACGGCTTTCACAAGTGCTCCCACATCCAGCCATTTTAGTTCTAGACATTTTTTCTGCCTTGCTTTACCAGACAACTAGAGATATTACTAGGAAGCTTTGGGTTCAAATGGAGCCCAAGATGGAGACCCACCCAAACCAAACATTGTAGCATTTTTGATGTCTCATTGTTTAAAACTAGGTCAACTGAGGACAAACTCCTTGATAGAATTGACTTACAATGAATTCTGTTCCAGACCCTTCCTTAGCTAACCTCAGGAGCAGTAACCCAACTGACCTTAACCTTGCGCCACCCAAACGTGCAGGACCAAAATTCCTACCATCCCTTGCTGCTATGCTGCTCTAACATCTACATGAAAGAAGTCTTCCTATTTCAATTGCTCCTATCTTACTTTCTCCCTGAGTATCTATGCCTGAAGAAAGGGGTTGTTTGTTTGTTTGTTTTCTCCCTGTTCTTGGGTAGATTTGAATGCTTGCAATACTTTTAAAATTGATCCCCCGTGCATGTACAGAAGTTCTCCACATTCATCCTTATGCAGCAAATGAGGTTGACAATATTTGAGATCTAAGCAGTTTTGCCTTGCCTTCAGCTCTCAACAGAAAGAGGCAGAGAGCCAGCAGATCTGTTCTGGATAATGACTCAGTCCTATTTGGTTATGTTTTCTCAACTCTTATCTTAAAAGTACTCCCTTACAGCAGCTGACTGCTAGTGTGATGCAAGCCAATAACTGTATCCAGCTTAGCTACAGCTACCCACTCCTCTTCTGCTATGCATACCAGCGTAAGTCAGAGCTTAATTGTACTGAATTCAAAGCATATTGATGGGAACAAGATGTGTAAGACAGAGAAAGATATGCCTCCACTGCTGAGAACCTTGCAGGGAAGGAGAGATGAGAAGGAAGAGGGACAAAAAATCAACTAGAAACAAAGCTGGCACAGCAAAGAGATGAAGATCACTGAACAGGTAGATGGTCACCACAGACTAAATGGATGGGCTCCATACCAGTGGACGATGTGGCCAAAACCTGTGATAGGTGGAACTATCTCCTCCCTGCTTTTTCTATACCTGGCCTTTCTTCATTTCTACTATCCCTGTTATCTCCCCCTTTCCCCACATGGCTGAACTGTAGAGGGGTTTGAAATCAGGCATGGAACCTATGGCCAAAGGTTGCCTACCTTAGTCTATATAAAGGTGTATTAAAAGAAAAGATGTAAGCCCCATTGTAAAGTTAGAAACAACTGAGAGGAGGGGGCAGAGGGAGAGAGAGAACCAACACAGATGAAATTTTGACTGAAAATGGAAGTGATACCCCTGCTGAGATAAAGGGCTGGTTTGCAGGATCAGCAGATGGCAGTTTGTGCCAGAGGCTGTTGTGGAATGCCAATCCTCCGTCTGGCTTATGATGACGTGTGACCTTGACACAGAGTGGGCTGTTGCCATCATTAACAAACTACCCACAAGCCAAAAGCAGCCCATGTATGCCTGAACCAGTTGTTTTTCACCTGGCTGTACACTGTTGATAACTTGCGAAGTCCATGCCTCATTCTGCCTGCTGTTCTGATCACCATCCTGCCTTCAGGGCTTTTTTAACATTAGAGTTAGCAGCTTATTGGGCAACACCTAACTTTCCACTGAAGTACCTTATATCTGTGTGTGCCAATTAGGCACATTACCGAGCGCTTACAAGTTTCAGGTCTCAGGTTCATCGGCCACAGATCTGCATATACTAATTTAAAGTAAGTTGGAAAACAACTACAGCAGAGGTATATGGGCTGTTTTGGGGTTGCAGGTTATTTGTGCTTACTCACAAAAACCCCTAACCAAAAGAATTGCCCCTAGTCTACCATGAAGAAATGTACAGAGGTAGGAAATGCACATCGCATGACATCAAGAAATATCAAGGGACAAACCGAAATGCAGGGAATATGAAGAGCAGCAGCAGAACAGCTCTGGCACAGTCATATCCAAAATGGGGGGCAGGGGGAGAAATTAAGAGTGAAATCTTATGCGTGAAAGACATGCATCTCCCAGCATGGACCAGCTAGTCATGATGGTTAGAAAATGCTGGCAGCTGTAGGATGTTTCTCTGTCTAAACCTGCACAGGATTCTGCCAGAAGTGACTTAAAATCAAGGGCAACATTTCCCACTGTATCCCATCTGCCTCCCAAGAAGGTGGATGATAAGTCATAAAATCCAACCTCAACCTATCTGGCAAGTCAGCTCCTAGAACACCAGTCACAAGGCCTAAATCAGCCTGGAGCTGAGGGTGATGAGAGTTGTAGTCCAACACATCTAGCAGGTATCTAGTCAGGGAAGCCTGGCCTATATAGTTTGAGATTAACAAAAAGCTCCTGTGGGATGGCTTTGGCCACAGACAGTCTTTCCTGGTGAGCTGCATGTAGGTAAGAGGAGAGTATTGCTCCGTGTTGTAAAACTGGGCAGTGGCCCAGTGTGGAGACAACACGAGTACCACTGAGAGGGGTCCCTACCAAGTGACCTCCCTGAGAATGTACATAATACAGGATGGGCCGAAAGTAGGTATACAGTCCTGATTGGGTCTTGGAGGACCTCACACAGTGGACAAGTTGAAGGACTTCATCTCACAAGCATTTATCGACACTGACAGTTTTATTAACATTTATTGACAGTGCTAACTGGAATTTGTGTCACAGTGTGGGAGACATGTTCCAGGAAAGTTGCAATGTTGAAGAAGGACATTTCGAGCACCTAAGAGACTAAACATGACCGATCAGTCCTGTATGCCTACTTTTGGCCCACTCTGTATTGTAAAAACCCACAATGCAGCAAAAGGGGCCCAAAACAGTTGTTGTTTCAAATGTGTGCTTAGCTGCTCAAATCTTTTCATTGCTACTCTACAGTAGGTGCAGAGAGTCAGAGGCAGATCTGTGAAATGCTCCTAGCCCACTCATAAGCTAGCTTCTCAAATCAGATCAGGGCTGCTGTACCCACTCTAAAAGTTGTGGCATTGCAGGAAAGACATAGAGCTAGATGCTCATTTAAAGCAATGCTCCATTTCACACAACACAAGGGTTTGTTTTCCACTCTTGCGCATGGATAGCCCCTCTGGTTGCCAGCTGATTTCTCACTGGTCCCGAGTTGTTGTGGCATCTGAACCTGGCAGTGGGAGTTGTCTGGGGCAGCTAACAGACTGCCCAGAACCCACCGCTGCTCCAGGGTTCCCCATGCCAGCCAACTGTGCTTGCCAGGCTTTGGGTATCAGAACATCACATGCTCAGGAAGGATAATCAGGGAAATCATCTGCTTGTGACTGGCACAAATGGGGGTGCTTAACAAGGCACTGTGGTTTGTTAACCATGCTCATGTTGTGCAAACTCGGTCAATGTCTGATCTGGCCCAAAAAAGGCAGACAGCTTCTCCCACACAGTCCCGCCCGAACTACGACATCCTTCCCTCCACCTGCTGTGCAGCTGCAGACTTGGAGTCCTCATTGCTAGAATTGGGGGGCGGGGGGAATTGACAGGAGCATGGGTGGGCGAAGCTGCAGCTGCTTTGTCTATCGCTGTACTGGAACAGTTACATTATAAATGTTCCCTCGGTCCCAGCCAAGCAACCCTATCACAGATACGCCTGGAAAGAGCAGACAGGGCAGCGGCTTGGCAAAGGCAGCATTTCCTTCCTTTTAAGAAACAAACATGGAAGTTGTCCAGCTCAGAAGCCTACCTCATAAATGGACAGTGTTTCCCTCATTTGTAACCCCCCCTTCATCCATCAGCACGTGCCTCAGGGTGTCCTTCATACCTTTCCGGATGCCACCATCAGCAGCAGCACAGGAGAAATCTCCAGCGCTCAGAAGAAAGCAGGCGGCTGCTTTCTTGTTTTTGTCCCTGGTGCTCAAGCGCCTTGCCGGCTGCTTCTCCTCAGGCGGCGATGAAAGAGGCTGTTCCTCATCCGACAGCACCACGTTGGCATCGCCGTTCTGCTTGGAGTCTTTGGAAGGAGAAAGAATGGGGAAAATGTCACCGCCTGAGACCAGAACTGCACCTGCTTTGCCAATAGGGAAGCAAGCAGGACACTGAGACCATTTGGGGAAACAAAGGCAGAGTCTTTTCCCCAGAGATGTCTGTGTGTGTGGCCATGATATAAGATGTGGGGTATTGCCTGCTTTGGAAGCTGAGGGGCTCTTTAGAGAAGGAAACAGCAGTGAATTGGAAGGAAATATTCACTTTACTAGAAGTTGTTAAACATACACTAATTAATATTGCCCTCATCAAAAGCATTCTGTATATGAAAGACTTTCCTCAGTTATTCACCTTGGGCTTGCTGTCCTGACCACCTCTGGGAACTCAAGAAGCAGAAGAGTTATGTAGTATGTTCTTTCAGGAAGCCTTTTAGCAGCGGACCCATGAGGATTAATTGGCTCTTTAAAGATGCATGAAACCACAGATAAAGGAATTTTCCTTTGTCTTCCTAAGTAGCAGGAGAGGGAGCCATTTCAATCCCAGAGACAGCACAAGGGCTCTCTGAGGGAAAAGGGTATAGCATGGTGAGCAAACAGGCCTGAGGAAACCCTGAGGAATAAGTTGTGGCAGGCGGCAGGAAGGAGCCGTCCTCCACTGATGCTAAAGCAACACCACAGGTGTGGCATGGCCATCACAGACTAGAATTATCGGACTCAGACTATTTGTATACTTTTATGTGAACTCTGATTTTGTTTATTGGATGGAAAGAGTTTCGACACCCTGATTTAAGGCCATGAACATAAGAACAGCCACACTGGATCAGCTCAAAGGTCCAGCTGGTCCAACATTCTGTTCACATGGGGGTCAACCAGCTGCCTGTGGGATACCCCAAGTAGGACATCCATAGCACCCTCCCACTCATGTTCCCCAGCAACTGGGGTCCACAGGCAGATACCAGTAGCCATTCATAGCCTTCTCCTCCTCCAGGGATTTCTCCAGTCCCCTTGTAAAGCCATTCAAATGGGTGGTCAACACTACATCTTGAGGTAACAAATTCCATCATTCAGCTATGTGCTCCAGTTACATCGTACTAGCACTATGCCCAACCTAGCTGGTCCAGCAGTGACGAAGTTGTGCTAGACCACCCATTCCTCTCTAGAAAGCATTCAGTATCTCATACAAGTGCCTCGATCCATGCCTGAAGAAAGCAGTGCTAGTGAGCTGCTTACCCACCATGTCTCGGAGTTCTTGGGTTCCTTCCCGGGGGTTTTATCAGGAAAGCCAATCGATGCATGTTATGCTAGTTACATCATACCTGGTATTTCTACCAATAATAGGGCTTATACAGCCGCTTTCAGCTTCCTTCATCTGGGTGGCAACATACACTAGCGATGGCTCCCATCATCCTATCACAGAGCTTGTCTGATCTGCCCACCTGCAAGCTTCGTCTGGTCACTAACAAGCCTGGGGATGTTGAACTAGTAATCTTAAGAACAAAAGTAATAAGATTTGCCTCCTGTTAGTGGAGCTGCACTAGGGGTCCAGCTAAGTGTTTTTTGAGCTTAAACCTTTTATGTTATTGTTTGGATGCCATTATGATCTACACCTAGAAAGAAGCCATTCCAGCCAGCTCTTCAGCTAATGGAAGCTGCTCCAATTCCATTGCTACCAATGCTCCTCTGAGTTGAAAATGTGCACATGCACAAGCTCGACCTTCACTCCAATTTCTTCAGGAGCCATTCTTGGGAAAGCTCTTTTCTTGCCTCTCTTTTCGCGAGGACAAAGAAAGCGCAGCCTCTCTTTAAGTACACTCAGGCTTCCCAGGGAGGTCTCAAAGCACTTCCCACTGCTAGCCAAGAGCTGCAACACGAAACCCTGGAGAGCCACAGCCCTGGGCAGCAACTACACCTAGCTTAACAACTGCCAGCTGCAGAAACAAAAAGGTGCAGCAGCAATCAGAAATAAATCACCTGCATGAATGAACTTAGGTGCCCACAAGCTCCACAATATCATTGTTCTGTTAGGGGCTGCCTGCCTGACACTCAGAAACTGCCTGCAGCAGAAAAGGTCAAGTGATTAATCTATGCTCACGAAGGCAGCCTATCATTCGGGCAAAACATGTCCCTTAAATCAGCCTTCCCCAACCTAATGGCCTTCAAAGGCATTTGGACTGCAACTCCCAAAATTCCCATCCAGTAGGGCCATTGACTGGGAATTCTGGGTGTTGCAGTCCAAATGTGTCTGGAAGGCATAAGGTTGAGGAAGGCTGACTTAAATGCAGCATTAGAAAGCAGGGAGGCTGACCACATGTTACAGGAAATGCATGCCCAAAGCTCTATACATCGTCTCTTGCACTGTTAGGATCAAACCACACATAATGCTTAAGTCACCTTTGAATCCCATTTTGGGATTCTCTTCCTCTGTTTGAAACTAGCAGCACTTGTACGGAGAGTCAGTAACTGGAGCATTGGGGAAGGGTTAACCCCTTCAACAATTCTCTTTTCCTCCACAGCTACTAATAGCAGAAATAGCAGCTTCATGGGAAGGGAGGTTACTTTCAGCAGTCAAAAGCTCATGCTGGGATAGCTTAATCCTGTGTCCCAATGCTGGGAGTTGGGAATCTCGCACAGCTACTAAAAGTTTAAACAAAGAGGAGAAGAATCCTAACATGGGGTTCGAAAAAAAGCATTTTGTTTTACTCTTTGGGTGCATTCTTATTCATGTTTAGACAAAATGGTCCTACAACTCCCACCTTTTCCAAACATATATAAGACTGCCTTTAGTGTAATGCCTCAGGCAAGGGGAAGCTGCACCAAAGCTTCAGCTGCAGGGACTGTGGCTGTTTGGTGTTCGGTCAATCAGTCACCTGATTTAAAACAGTGCCTTGTATTTAGGAAAACCCCAAGGTGGCAGGTGAAGGCATGACTCAAGGGCACATCATGCTAGAACTGTGCTAAAGCAAATTAGCTCTGGATCTGATCAGTACCTGGACAGGAAACTGAACAAAAAATTGCATAGATGGCCTTCTGAGTTCCATTACAGAAGAAAAGCATTGTGTGAATCAGTTCTCAGAGCCGGGTGGGATGCCATCCCACATTTTCTCAAGTAAACCTATAGCTATCCCACTTCTTTCCAACGGGACATAATTGTATCTAGCCTAGCCATCCCAGTTCCATTTCCCCCCTACTTCAAACAACAATATAAATACAATAAATAAAAGGAGTAGAAGAGGCATTCCACTTTCTCAGGTTTCATCTTCTCAGGTGATGCACCCTGAATCACATGTATGCATCTAAAAACAAAAGGCATAGTAGGAAGTTTCTCCTTCAGAACAACTTTGTTTATATACATATTTAAGATACAATCCTATGATGTCAGGTTAAAAAAGGACCTAAATATCCCAGCTGGGGAATGCTGAGAGTTGTAGGGCTTGTTTCCATGAAAACATGCTTGGATACTTCTCTTATGGCACAATTCTTTGATAATGGGCAGAAGCCCCCAAACTCAGAGGCTTACATTCATCCTCTGCAGGGCAGAATGAGTGGCAGAGGCAAACTACACCTGTCTGTTCATGTACCCTGAATTTTTATAGACTGGTTTTTTTGCCCACCTAGGTAGATGCATCAGAAGAGGAGGGAAGGAGGCTGCAGAGGCATTAAGACAGCTCAGCTCCTAGCTTCCAAGTCCCCTCCCCTCCCACCAAAATGTCCCCTTTCCTTCTTCAAAGTTGTGTTCCCAACCTTAGAGAGGCAGCCAACATGTGATTGCAAAGGGATAGAGGAGGGGATCAAAGCTTCGATTCTCAGTTCTGGGAGTTGAGAATTGGGAGTGAAATATCCTATGGCCCCTCAGACACTGTCCAGGGACCAAAGGATTGCTCCTTTGATTATGTAATTCATCAGTTAAGGCTGCAATCCTACCTGGCAGTATTCCCTTGGAGCACAGTGGCACTAATGCATAGGATTGCACCATAAGATTTCATTCATCAAGCGAGAGGCCTAGTGAAGACAGAACCATGTATCTCCTTATTAGGGAAATGAAAAATACACTCTTTGGAAGTTATATCAAAAAGGTAGAAAGTAGTTGGCAAGCCATTCTTTCTGAGGGGCGAGCTACCCCCCTGAGAGCAAAGACAGTGAGTAGTTGCGGCAAATCAGCCTAGAGGGTCTCTTCAGTGGGTCAGGGAATCTCTGTTGGCTATCAGTGACCAATAGCTTAGTGTAAGGAGGACACTGCTACAGAGGCCACTGAACAAACCATGGGGCGCTTTTGGACAGAGGGCCCCTAGCATTCCTTGTCGAAAGGCATTGTGCAGCTATTCTGCCTTTTCCTCCTTAAAGATAATTTCTGGTAAGAAAAAAATTGCAGAAGCACTGGGAAAATATGGGAGAGCTACAAATGGAAGATGGCACCTCTGAAATGATAAAAGCCTTGCTTGGAAGTGGCTTTTCTGTACCCCTCCTACACCACAAGCCAAACACTTGCTCTAATTCTGACCTTGCAGTGACACAGAAGCTCTCACTGAATAAAGCTATTTGTTATTTACATCAAACTAGCATCTTTGGCTCAGTTCCTAATCACTAGATTGAGACTGTGCTTCCAAATGGACCAAGTCAGAAGATTTATGATCAATAAACATAAAAGGGCATGTTTTGATAAGGATGTGTCGGTGCACTTGGGTTGAATCCAGCCATTTTTACTATTAATCCAGCATTAGGCCAACACTGGTGATCCAACACTGGGATAAACAACTCAGACTCTTTCTTTGTGCCTCTTCAAGGTGTGCAGCTGCAACACAGTTCCTACCACCCATGTTGCTTTTTCTGCCTTTGGCTGAACCTGGGATCATCATCTTACCTGATCTTTTTCTCTCCAACACCCCCACTGCTGTTGCCGCGGCCAGGGGGCTGTTATAACTCTGAATGCTGTTGCAGGGTGAATTGTTCTCTGATTTGCAGTATGTTGGAGATTCAAGTGGCACTGGACGGGGTATGTGCTTCTTCTTCTTCTTTGGGAGCTTCTGCTTAGCCATGGCCAATGAGTAATACATTCCAAAGTTGTTGACGATGACTGGGACAGGCATGGCAATGGTAAGGACCCCTGCTAGAGCACAAAGTGCTCCCACCAGCATGCCTGACCAGGTTTTGGGGTACATATCTCCATAGCCTAGTGTGGTCATGGTCACCACCGCCCACCAGAATCCAATGGGAATATTCTTAAAATGGGTGTGATCACTACCACTCGGATCAGATGACTTGGCTCCAATCCTTTCCGCATAGTAGATCATAGTAGCAAAGATCAAAACTCCAAGAGCCAGGAAGATTATAAGGAGGAGGAACTCATTGGTACTGGCCCGGAGTGTATGGCCCAGCACCCGAAGTCCAACAAAATGGCGGGTCAACTTGAAGATCCGGAGGATCCGGACAAAACGGACTACCCTCAAGAAACCCAGCACATCCCGTGCTGCTTTGGATGACAGACCACTGAGTCCCACCTCCAGATAGAACGGCAAGATGGCTACAAAGTCAATGATGTTAAGAAGGTTCTTAATGAAGACCAATTTATCTGGGCAACAAACAATGCGCACTAGAAATTCCAGTGTGAACCACAGCACACACACTCCCTCAATGTAGGTGAGGATGGGTTCTGTCTCCATCTTTTGCATCACAAGGATTTCCGTTGTGTTGCCCACCACCAGCGTCTCAGTCACATTAACATCTATGATGAAGGCTTCATGCGTCTCCAGACAAAATGTTGTGATTGACACCAGAATGAAAAATAGGGAAGCAAAAGCAATCACCTGGAGGAGAAGTGGAAAATAAGCTCATTGGTTAAAATGAACAGGCCACTGGACCACAAAAACATCTAACAGGAGATACAACAAGCTTTAAAATGAATGGCCCACAGTGCCCCATTAGTGCACAACAGAAAAGCCTCCCTGAACAGTTATTACACTCCATCAATGGGTCCTAATTTTCTATTCCAAGCTTCTGGCCAACTATTGCAATTAAGGCACACTGCTGGTTCATATACAACTTTAATTAAAAGTAAGAGTCACTGAACTCGCAGAGATTTACTTCCAAGAAAATGTTCATTAAACGGCAATCTGGGTGATTCTACCGAACCAAATAAAGGGATGGGAGGAGGTCGTAGCTGCAGTGAATGATCACAGCACAAAATTTGCAGGCTGCAGGCAGACTGTTCTACCTTTTGCACTGTGCCAGCCTGGAAGGGTAGCTCATTGTTCCCTGTTACCATTAACAATCACAATCTTAAATTCAGCTTGTATCCAGCACTGAATTAGTCAGCCAAAATTTGCTTCTCTTTTTATTACATATTTTTCAGATTCAGACTATGAAATCTGCAGTGACGAACTGGCAGTTCTGGTTTCTTTTATATTTGTTTATGTATTTTAGGTTGTAACATCCCGTTCATTAACCCAGGGCTCTCAGAACGACTCTCATATCCCAAAGATCAGTGTAACACCTTCCACTGACACTAACAATAAACAGGAAGAACTCAATTGCCCAACTGGGACTGCTTGTGTTTGCTTGTACTTAAGCCTCATTCATGTTATTATTTTCGCTGCACATTAGTTTGCCAACAAAGGCAAAGATTACACTCATATGACCGTAAAATGGCTATTTCTCTACTTTGGTTCATAAACAGTTGGATACAAGGTTCTGACTGTTTCAATCTGCAAGAAAATAATTTCTTTAAACAAGATGTGTGGAGAAGCTAGATATGAAGATATTTTGGACTGCATCTCCCAAAAGCCTCCTGCCAATATAGCCAATGGTCATAAGAATGCTGGGAGCTGAAGTCCAAAGCAACTGGAAATTTACTTTCTGTCTATCTCTGAATTATGCTTTCTACTTGGTAGTTCATACACCCTGGAAGAAACCCCATTAAAAGCACTGGGGATTGCTTTTGAGTGGACATGCAGAACAGTGAACAAAGCAATCTGATGTATGTCTACTCAAAAGTAAACTCAACCAAGTTCAATGGGACTTTACTCTCAAGTAACATTGAGACTGCACATGTACCTAAAAGTAACTCCCATTGAATATAAAGAGACTTACTAATGAGCAAAGATGCATAGGGTTGCATGGATAATGAAAACAAAATTAACAAATGAAGTCAGAATTAAAATTTTAAGATCCAATGTTTAAATAAATATTTGGTTTTTATTCACTGTTAGATGGCTTAGATGATTTTTCCATTGTATGTACAAAAGAAAAAAATCTTGATTTTGGCTGAAGCTGTAAAAATATATTACGTTTTAGAAACTGAATAACTGGGACAAACGTGGAATAAGCACAAGTGTACACACACACACACATACCAATTTTCTCGGAACCACTAAATGCTTTATTTGAAAAATCAGCCCACCTAAACAGGACCACTGAGCTGGTGAAACAACACTGTTGCAAACTGTGCAAGCTTCCATAGCATGTTTCAACACAAGTGCTTCCTCCAATCAAAATCTAGTAATGATGCTGGTTCATCACTGATGACAAGTCAAATCATAAATTGATTACAAGAGAAGATGCATGAGCCCCCGATCGTTATTATTTGAATTTATTGCTATATTTAGAGACTTCCTTTTTTTACTCTCAGAAGAAACCCAGAACAGTTGACATGTCCTTTTTGTCTCCATTCTATCCTCACGGCAATCCTGTGACATCTGTTAGGCTAAGAGTGAGAGTCTGGCCTAAAGTTGGCCAGTGAACTTCATGGCTGAGTGAGAACTAGAGCTCAGATCTCACAAGGTCCTCATGACACAAAGAAATGGAACAGTTGGTCGAGTCTTTGGCCACAATCCCTTTCATTTATTGTATTTATTTTAAATCTTCCAGTACCGCTTTTTATAGTGAAGCTCTCAAAAGGTGGCACACATTTAAAAATAGACATAAAACAGCACTTTGCTTTTCCAGGAGAATCCAATCACATACAAATATACTATTTAAAACAATGTGTAAGCTGGTAGAACAGTACAATAAAACTATTTTAAACCATTTAAAACTGCCAGCACTGAAGGTCATTCAATAGTTAAACATTCAGCCCAGGATCTCAGCTAAAATCAACCCAGCACATTTTCAAAGATTCATTTAAAAGCCTGTACTGAAGGGGCCAAAAATATGTTCCTTGGAAGGGAATTTCACTGGAGCTGTTGATCTCCCACAAATTCTAAATAGTGGGCACTGTTTGAATAACTACAACATCATACTTATTTTCACCTGTTCTGCAAGAGATGCTTATTCTCTTGGTACTGTCAGTCCACTTACTAGCTGATGGCAAACCTTGGTATGAATTTCTGCTTGCCTGTGTGCGTAATACAGCTTGCTTCACCCTTTGTACTGTCTGTGAGTGAACGGCTGTGCAGGGAGCAAAATCAATATTTATGTATTTATTTAATTTCTATACTGCCCAACAGCCAAAGCTCTCTGGGTGGTGCCTGTGGCTGGCAGAAAGTGGTCTTCTTTCATTCTGGGCTTTTAAACTCTGCTCCCCCCTGTTAAGCTGAGTGCTGTCATGTTTCATGTTCATGATTACAGCTGTTTGTGGGAGTCTCTGGCATGGCATTTCTTTGTTCATCTCTGCATGAGCACAGGGCTTCTTCCGGCATAAAGCACCAGTCCCTCCGGTTACTTTCAAGTCAGCCGCTTGCTGCAGCCAGTGCCATTCATGCAGCTTTTTCTGCATTTCATGTGGAGCCAGTGGGGCCTTTCAGGGACTTCTAACTTGATTTAGTGTGATTTCAGAAGAAACCTATGCTGTCATTGTATTTCTATTCCTAGTTAGAGTTCTGGAAATACGAGCTCCCACACAGGTATAAAAATGGAGCCTTCTGAAGTCTATCCACTCTCCTACACCCAATGCCACTACGGGGTTCCTGCCAAATCTAGCCAAAGCATTTGCACAGAAGCACTGGCTGTCACTGCACCAGGCTCTCCCCACTTTGTGGCACAGGAAGGGCTTCTGCAATGTGTGTGTGCACACACAAGAGATGAGAGGTAAGCAATGCATAGAGGAGACCTGCCTGGAGAGATGGCCAGAGCATAGAAGGGCTAGATTCATCATGCAACGAGAGAGCAGAAATACTTTGCTTTGCTTCCCAAGCTTAGCAAGCATACAACTTGTTAGCCTTTGCAGAGGCCACCATAGCCACTTTTTAGGAGAAGGTTACCAATAAATAGGACCTGATTTCAGTGGACTGAAACCCACCATTTATCCTAACTCCTTTGAATGTAAAACTCAGGCAATCTGTCTTGCAAGTGACATATATCATGGCTAATTAGAAAGCCATTAAGGGCTATTGTCTGCTCTCCACATTTTCATATAAATACAGAACAAGTTTTCACACAATTACAAGGCAAAATCACTGAGGTAGAGAAACTGACCAACATAGGATCCTTTCTCTATGCATCCTTATTCAGGACAAATATATAAATATTTAGAAAATACTATTGGCCTGATAAACTCAGCCAAAACTTCATATACCAACCTACAATAGGTAAGAATATTATTTAAATTCACTACAATTTATTTTCAAATAATGGTGCAGAAGTAGGAATCTATGATAGTCTTCAGTAAGTCCTATCCCAAGAAGTCTCAAAAATCCAACATCTTTTTTGGGAACATTGGAGCAGGTCAGGGGGTTTCACCTATAATACATCCAGACTTCTTCCCCTCTTATCAACAGGGCATCAAGGAAAAGAGTTACTTCTATACTAATCAAAGCACAAGGGCATTTTTCAAGACAAACCATTCATATTTGATGAACTCTTCAAACACCCTTCTCAGCTTTACTATGTGATGTCAGAAACAAGCACACTGGATACTTACCTGGTACAAAGTGAGATAAGCTCGCTGAACTTCTCTAGAGTTTGAAATCCATTGCCTTACACCCTTTTTATACCACATGAGGATCCTTATCACAGCAGTGAGAGATCTGGAGACGGAGAAGTACCAAACCTTCACATACAACTCCTGTCGGCTGTCAACTGTACTGGCAGAGGACCATGAAGTCAGGTTTAATCAGCTAAACGATGCTAGTCAGAGCCTTCTATGTATCATGTCTGCTTTAATTTAGATGGTAGGGTTCTGTGTTGAGGTCACTGAGATGGGGTAACTACATTTTCTGCTGGATTCTCTATCTGACAGTGACACAGAACCACTTAGCCTGGCATTCTACCAACTGGGGAAAAATAACAAGTACCACCCAGACAGCTTCAACTATTGGGCAGTATAAAAACAGAAAGAAAGAAATGAAATGTCACCAGAAGGCTGAAACCTTTAAGAACAAGCAGGGCCTGAACTTCAGAGGCTGGAACTGAGGCTATTTCCTTTTTAGAAGGTTTGCAAGATGAGGAAAGTTACTAGTCACTAGGTATTTACAATTATCATCAGGACAGGGTTTCTTTTAGTTTCCCAAATATGATAATTGTTATGTCACCAAGCATGATTGAGATCAATGGCCAAAGAAAGCATTGCTAAGAGAAGATGAGAGACAGGCAAGTGCAGTGTGGGAAAATCCCTGGAGGCTGTTTCAGCAAGTCTATTTTAGACCCTTTCATAAACTGAGAGCAGCTTTGGAAATCTAAGGCCTCTGAGACACAGAAAGGGTTTGCAATTCCATCTCTGGAATGTGTCATTTAAAAAATTGGCTGCCTAAAGTTTCTATTTGGCTGGAAGAAAACATGTAGCATATAGTGAATTCCACTGCTCCCTTCCCTCCCCTCCCTTCTCTGCAGGCAGCACATTCATTTTGATGTGCACTCTACCATAAGCCAAGCCAAACTTAATGTTTACACCTCCAAATGCCAACAGTGCTTTTGCATCCCTATTGCAAGCACGAGTGATTTAGTTCTCTATCTCACATATGCTAGCGAGTAGGGCAACATTTATGTATTTGATATGACTAAGGAACCAGGTGAATTGCTGTTTCTTAAGAATAAAAGCCAGAAAGCATGGCTTGTGAATTATCTACATATAAAAGAAAAAATGAGTGGGGTGACTCAAGTTGTATGGTTTGAATGGAAATGAAGCAGGTGACTCCATTAGCAGGCATGAAAAAGTTTTCTAAAAAGGGAGGGTTTTTAATTCCTACGGCAAGTAGCATGCAGAGTTCCATCAAGATGTGTTTCTTGTCCTAAAAAACCTGCAAAGAGGCAAGAGTGGAAGGTATCACTGATATGCCTGCCAAAATCTCCTTCTAAAGATTAAAAACACTTTGCTATTGCAATGAGAAAAACCATGGGCAAACTCCACAGCTGCCTTAACCAAAGTGAAAGCTGATGTTTGATTCATCTGAATCAGAGAGGCCAGTGGAAATAAATAAATAAAAAGTAGGGCAAGGCTAAATTCCCCAGGAGTGCAGCATTGGAAACGGTCTTCTGCTGTCCTGCAAAAGGGCAGGTTTGAGGCTGTGGATCTGCTTTGCTTTTTATTATAACCCCAAGATCTACTGACCCACTAGGACCAGCTGTGAAAGACATACCCTTGGAATTAAAGAACGGGGTTAACCAGACCACATTCTGAGCCTAGGAATTTCTTTTCAGTGCCAGAACTGAACATAGTTCACTGTCCTTTCACATAATGGCCCACTTTTGCTTAATCCAAACCTGTCATTTCAACAGCCTAATTTAGGAGGAAATAACCTTCACATGTTCCTCGTGTTGAAATGAACTAAGAGTCAGAATCCCTTGGCGATCTACCAGAAATCACACAAAAAACTATCTGTAGATCCTGCTACTACCCGTACCTGGTGTGTGCCATGATGCTGTATACCAGTGGCAAATCAAGAACACTAAATGCTTCTCCCATGCGTATAGATTAATAAACAAGGGGAAGGGGAACACTAACTAACTCTTGTTAGGCTCTCTAAAACTCTTATCAAGTCTTGAATATACAGTAATGGGTAAAAGATGGAAGAAAAACATGTAAAACATATGCAATGGTGCATTTGTAAGTTCAGAGTCCAGGAGAGCCCTTCTTGCAAGTCCCCTGGGCACTGGTCTTGCATTTGACTGGAAGGAGGGTGCTGATCATATCTAGGGATCCAAATGACTGTCTGTACAAAACAAAGAAACACCTGCACACACTGAAAAGGAGGACTGAGCTATCCCCATCACCTCCGTCCACTGTCAAAAGTAAGGAGAAAGGCTTAGATGGATGGCAGGAACAAGAGAAGAGGTAAGCAGTGAAGAATAGCAAGTTGAGGTGAACAACTCCATTCAGCAGCATCTAGGAGTGGGTGAAAGGCAAAGCAGCGACAGTCCTCTCCAACCAGGTGCCCTCCAGTTGTGTTGGGACTACAACTCCCAGCATCTTCCAGCCAGATGCTGAGAATTGTAGTCACACACATTTGGAGGACAAAAGGATGAGAAAGGCTAAATGACTGCTGTCTCAAGAGAAAGAGAAGCATAAAAAGGTGTAACATGTTGTAACAAAAAAGGGATAAACCAACTGGTCTGGCGAGGATGTAGGAAGCGTCTCAAGAAGCCTGGGCCCCCACAATACCCACACCCAACAAAAGCGCACCACTAACTCACCCGGGCTGCCCTGGATGAATAGGGATCCTCAAAGAGTGCCCACATCTTGGGCTGCCAGTTGCGGCAGCAACCTCCCCCTGCTCCTCCTCCTCCAGCAGCCCCCAGAGCTCCAGCAGGCCTGTCGTCCATGCCTAGACGCTGAAGGGTCAAGTCCCCGGCCCCTTCCACTTCAGTCTCCTCTCCAGCAGCCCCGCTCCCAGGCTCCGGGCTCTCAAAGATATCCAAGGCTTCCTCAGCATCCCGGTGCTGCCGATAAGCCATCCAGCAGCAGGGCTCTACATCAGTCTCATCAATGCCCCAGTAAGTAAGCTCCTCTTCAAAGAGGGGTCCACAGATATCTGCGGGGCAGTGCAGCTTGCCCGTGCGGTAGTAGTTCAGCACGTAGGAGAAGATGCCTGGGTGTCGGTCAAAGAAGAACTCATTGCTTTGCCTGTCGAAGTCAAAATCGCTCTGGGCATCGGGGTCAGCGAGCCAGGCCAGCCGTGTCCCAGGCAAGGTGCGCAAAGTGCTCTTGTAAGTCTCATGCCTGGTGCCCCCGACATTGATGGTAATCTTGTCCGACTCTTCCCCTTTGCCCATCTCTTCCTTCAGGCATGTTTTGGAGGGTGGCTTGTTCCCCGATTTGCGCCCACGGTAGGATGATACACACACTGAGCTGATCATAGATCAGGTTAGGTGGACCAGAGGTACTCTCAATAACCCCTTTCTTCTTGGCAAGCAGTTGCAGGCCAGGGGCGGGGGGCTGGGGCTGGTGGTCTCTTTCTTCCTAGCCTACAACAGCTCCGTTCTGCCCTTTGGCTGATGTGAAGGTCTCCGAGCTCAGCTGCTGGGACAGGCGGCCACCAAGCTGTTCCAGAGGACACGGAGGAAGCAGAGGAAGTCTTCTCAACCCACCTGAGCACCACTGCAGGGCAACAAGTGCATCTATGCGGGAAGGAAACAGGCCTGCCTGGCCAAGCACAGACTGGAAGCAGATGGCAACAGAACCGGGCGAGCAGGAGGGAAGGGGGGCGTGTGTCTTGATCAAGGGCACAGAATTCTGCTAGTAAAGAAAAACAAGTATGATGCAGAAACCAACCAACGAGGTATTTCAGCGGCAGCAAAGGATCTGCTCTGACGCTCTTTCTCGCCTACCTCCGGTTTCAGTCAGTTGCGAAATCGCGCCGGTCCTCCCAAAGTAGAGAAGCAGAGAGCGCGACTCGACTTTAAGGGAGACTTTAAACTTTGAAAGAGCCAACCGGACCGTCTTTAAAGATGAGCAACGCTCCTTCTCGCTTGCGCGCAGACCGGCAGCCGGCTCGCCTTGCGCTCTTCTCGCGTCGGGTGCCTCCTTCGCCTTCTCCTCCCAGGCAGGGTCGGACCCGCAGTCAAGGATCGGAGGATCGCAGACGTCCTCAGCGCTCCAGGAAAGGACCGTGTTTACTTCCCCGACGTGAAAAGCCGGCAAGGAAATCCGACCTAACGAGGCGCATCATTAGCCGCCGCTCCTCCTTGGCCAAGCTGGTTCCCCTCGAAGGATCCCACAGGGGGTGGTGGGCGGAGGAGGGCCACGCGGGCTTGGCTGTGCTGCTGCGTCCGGCCAGCTCTCCTCCGCCTGCTCAGGAAAAGCGTTCAGGCTCCCGATAGGAGCCGCTGCCCGTCGGAGGTCGTCGGGTGCAGCCGCGACTGAGCCGCTCTCTCCGAAGCTCCGGCGAAGGGCGGCGGCGGGTCTCGCCGGGCTTCAGGTGCGCCTGCCAGAGAACGGGAGGAACCCGAGGCAGCTCGGAGCTGTCTCATTTTCAGACTGTGGGAGGGCGAGAGGGAGGGAGCGCTAAACAAGCCCGCCGCTTGGACGACTTGGCCCTTCTCTCCCCCCTCCTTCCTGCCTCCTCTCCTCCCAGGACTGGGCGGGGCTGCAGCGGGAGCGCCTGATGGCCAGGGGCAAGTTGGGCAACCGAGAAGTCGCCCCGGAGGGGGACGGGCGAGAAGAGGAGGTCGCTGGCTTGCAGCTGCCGCGGCAGCACCCTGTTGCGCGATCGCCAGCGGGGCCGTCCGGGCGCCCCAAAGGAGCCGAGCGATCGCAGGGTCCGGCACGCGCATTTCTCCTTCGGCCCGGAGGGGGCGCTTTGTGCGGGGCGGCGCAAACAGGGCAGCTTTCCGGAGGCTTTTTAGCAAGCGGCTTCCCGGCAGCCTGTTGCCCGGATACTCTGCTCCTGATTCTCAGCCCGGCTGCTCAGCCTCCCCTCCAAGCCAAGCAGGAGCTGGCGAAGTTAACCCCGTCCCTGCTGCGCGCTTCCTAGCTTCCCACTGCAAGGGGCTTGGCGGACTTGGACGGCCGCGCAGGATTTCTCTGCGTTCCCGCGTTAAAATGGCTCGTGGTTTACCCTAAGCAAATTTACCTGGCGTCTCAGAGAAAGCATTGCCTGAGGCTGAATCCTCTAGGATGCAACTCTGCGCCTGTTTAGACACGGAAAAACTACAACTTCTAGCTAGCATGCCTGGCTGGGGAATGCTGGGAGTTGGAAGGCTCTCCCGTCTTAAAGGATTTCTTCTGTAGTGGTCAAGTGCAAATGAAGTTTTCCATTAGAAATATAGTCCGATAACGCCCAGCCGTCCTCAGCTACTCATGCTATTGGGGAATGCTGGGAACCGAAAGGCTTTTTTTTTTTCTGTTTAAACTCGCATGGGATTGCATCCTTAGTGATCAAAGTTGCTACGAGCTTGCTACGAAGATGGCAGAAGGGAGTGCAAGCTTATCCTAGATTCCCCAGACATGTTTTCAGTGTCAGCAGAGCAAGCTCAGAGACATCATCCAAAAAGGCATTTACAATTTCTGACATGCACTAGCAGCATCTTTACAGGTCTGATGGTTCCTGCTGCCAGGGTAAATGCGGGGAATGTCCCACGAAGCACATTGGGTAGTCGTTTTGAACAGCAGATTTTCCTGCCTTCATTCTCCAAGACTGACTCCTAAGAGGAGTGGCCCATTTGATGCCAATACCCCCCATCAGTTTTTCATATTTCTACCCAGTGGCATGGAGCAAGGCTATTGAACAGGCCTTTGGAAACTCGTAAACTAATTCTTTCTATACTTATTTGGGAGAAAATCCCGTTAACCTCAACAGTCCAACATACCAAGGCTGTGATCTAGCTGTAGCCAAAGTTCAAATTTCAGAGCAGGGGTAGATTTAGAAGTGGGCAAAAATTCTAAAAGTCTCTTCTTGGTTATCATGGTCAAGGATTCAATCCTATGCATGTTTAGACAGAAGCGTGTCCTGTAGCTTCCATGGTTCTCCAGTTTATGGGATTGCACTTTGGATTGCAACATTAACAGGCAGGGGAAGCAGTATTGTGTGTGTGTGTGTGTGTGTGATCCTGTTTTAAAAGCACAGTGACTTGTTCCTTTGGGATGCGCACACACTGCACAGGTCCATTCACTTGGGTATAACAACAGTGCCCTGCCTAAGTGCCGAGCCAGTGACACCAGTGCTGGCCAGAGCTACATGTGACCTCAAGGAGTAATGATGACTGGCTGAAGAGATGGTCACCTGACTCAAACCCTTTCCTTCTTCATGCGAACCACTGTGTTTGGTTGATGTCTGCTGACCCATAAAATTGGAACTGAGTAGCTCTACATTTCTCTGTGAGTTGCAAAGGAAGAAACGATAATATAGCAAAATCCATAATTCTTTGTTTGTAAGACAATACGTATATTCCCTAAAGAAGCCATTCCACTTTGCTGCTTCTTGCTTTCTGGAGTCAGGTGGTCCAAGCTGGACCACTCTCTGTTTCAGCATGACTTCTTGGCCAAAATTTCTTTGGGTTTCTTCATGAGAAGCTGAGTTGCTTTATTTAAGGTTGTAACTGACCAAGTCAATAACAAGCATCCCAGATATGTATAATGGGAGAGGTTCCCCTTGGATCAGCTTGAGCTGAAGGAGCCTGGCAAATGGAAGGAATTGAATTAGCAGAGCATAGACTAGCGATCCAGCCAGACACAGCTGCTGCATTTAGAACTGCAGTGATGCTGTTCACACATACAGAATAATGCAAATGCTGTCTGTTGTTAAAGGCACAGAGCATGCCCCTAAAGAAAGCATTGTCTGGCTTCATTGCTATAATTAAGGCAAAAGCCACTGGCATAATAAATTGATTAAGCACAGATTTTCAATCCCAAATGCCAATGCTGACTAATCGACTAACCTCAAGAAACAACAACAAAAATATGAAACATTGAAAAGGAAACTGGTAGCATCAGGGAGAGTTCTAATGTAAGTCTTTATTGGATTATTTCCATTTATGACTAATTACTGAAAGTGGTGCTGTCTGGGTTTATATATGGGCTGGCAGGACTGCTGGACTCAAGGAAGCCAAAGTTAACCCCATCTTTAGCTATAGAGATAATGCCTTGATCATTCTTGTTCTGAGGCCAGGGAGACAAGCAACCAAGACAACCGGCTCATTGTGGATTATTTAACCTGCAATTAACTTCAGTGCATTATGACTATGCAGCCCCCCACCATGGTTTTTTAGCATTTTGTCTGACTGCAGACATTAAGGGTTATGTTGGAGAAGACGGTGAAGATGGTATCTCCTTTGTTCTTTGAAATACAGAGTTAAAGAGAAAAGTTGTATGTATGTAGCTGTAGAAGAACTGCTCCTGGATAAGAGAGCAAAAAGGAACCAGACCAAGGATGAGTGTCTGAGCTGCATCTTGAAAGGTATCCTAGATAAGATATGAAAGGAAGGAAGAAAATTCCCCAGCTTGGGAAGGGAGAGGGCATATGAGAAAGTTGTCAGAGGAGGAGGTGAGCCATAAAAGCATTTTTCTAATTGTGTACTGCACAGTTGCAAGGTGTTCTGCCTTACACGTGGAATACTTTGTCAATTGCCTTGCTGTTCCTCTATTCTTAATAAATATTGCTGGCATGATCCCCCCTCCCCCCGAGGTGGTTGAATATGTTTCTGTCAGTTATTTGAGAGTTAAACCTCACACAATCCTTTTACAAACCAAGGGCTATTAGAGGATTGCATATTCATAATGGTGGCTACATTGGTCTCACTGTGGAATACATGAGCCAGTGGGTTGCAGGAACCAGCTCAGAGTACAGGCAGTGGTTGAACTGATGGCATGGACTGAAGGGGACAGTCCAGGTTGTCCACAGACAGAAGCAGGCTGCCAATATGGGTCCAGAGCAGGGCTGTTGTCATTTTGCTTGTGGAGTTTAGCCAAATTTGGGGTTGGCTGGACAACCCCCAAAGGGAACTACATGGAGAGGGTTCAGTGGCAGGGCCTTACCATGGGGTGGCACTTTTTATTTTCCATCTTTATTTTTTCCATCTTTATTTTTATTTTCCATACTCTTTATGTGTGGGGCAGCTTTAGCAGTATATAGTGGTACTCTAGCTGCTGCTGCAGCCGCTGCCCCTTCCCAAGCGCCTCTGAGAAGAAGGGATGGCAAATGCAAAGCTAGGTAGCCGCTGTAAAGCAGGCGACTTTAGAAAAGGTTAAGGCAAATGGAGGGAGGAATTTCAAAAGAAAAGGGGGGAGGGAGGGGGAGGGAGGGAATGTGGGAAAGGGCTGCTTTTCAGTGGTACAGCACATGCTGTATATACAGAAGACTGCAGGTAGGCAAGAATTCTGCCTGAAACCCCAAAGGGCTATTAGTTATCTAGACTAGTAT